CAAGATAATCATTAATATTCTTTCAAGCTCAGTTTGAATTTTTCACACTTCTATAAAAACTGTAGAATTTGAGCTAAAATATGTTCATTTGAATCCTTAGCCTTTATTTTTTAAGGGGAAAATCATCTATAAAGGGAAATTCTCATAATACCAGGCTGAAACATACTTTCCTTTCTTTATATCAACCCTTAAGTTAGACCATCACAACAGAACTTTAAGAAATATCTTCCAAAAATGGAATGTAGTCATTCAAAAATGATAAGATTACTTCATAATTTAGTATATGATAAAGGTGGCATTCCAAAGTAGTGGGCAAAGAAAGTATTCATTAAATGATATTGGAACAATTGGCTGGCAATTTGGAAAAGAAATAGAACCAAGTCTCTACCTTGTTTCTTATTCCAAAATAAAATCCAGATGATTCAAAGATTTAAAGGAAAAACAAGAAAAATAATAAAATACTCAAAGGAAATATGGGTAATTGTTCTTTACAAACTTGAGATGGAAAAGGACTTTTTAAGTGTGACAAGTAAGTATAAACTCAAATACAGTATAGACCAGGGGTGAGGAGCACAGTTTCTGGAAGCAACAACCTGGGTTGAAATCCTGATTCCAAACACATATTAGCTTATGATCTTGAAAAAGTCACTTAATCTGTCTAAGCCTCAGTTTTCTCATCTGCAAAATTGTGATACCTCCCTCATAGGTTGAATAAGGGAAAAATTTTATGTATAGGAATATTCTGGAATATAGCCAAAAGGACATAAATAAAATACAAATAGTGATTATTTCTAGGTGATGGAATTATGGATGAATTTTTTTGCCCTCTTTTTATATAGAAAAATATTTCTATTTTTATAGTTTCTATAGTGAATTAAAATATTGTTTCTCTCTGAGTGTGAGCACAGCATTGCAATTATGATCATAGACTCTGAAACCGCACTTCCTAGGTTCCAATGACTTATTAACTCTGTGAGCTTGGGCAAGTTACTTAGCCTTTATCTCAGTTTTCTCATTTATAAAATGGAGATAATATTATTTCCATCATAGACTTAAACGAATTGCTATAGATAAAGTGATCAGAATAGTACCTGGCAGATAGTGTTATATGAATGTTGTCATATATTAATAGTTTTCTCCTTTATGTTCTTTCTCTCAAAATTCCTGTTCTTTGAATGCCTTTAACTCAACAAACTAAGTTACAGGTATATATGATTATAGTTTAATGCAGGTGTCAGCAGACTATGGCCAGCGGCCAGGTGGCCCTTGACCTAAGGACAGTCTTTTACATTTTTAAAGAGTGGTAAAAAAAGAAAGAAAAAAGAACGTGCAACACAGACATTATGTGGCCCACAAAGCCTAAAATATTTACTATCTGGCCCCTTATAGAAAAAGTTTGCCGACTGTTGTGTTGTTTCCCCTTTTAAATATGTTTGCCATTAAAATCACCACGCTACAAATACCAAGGAATAAATCTGCAAACGTGGAATTTCAAGACATAGTGTAAACAGGAAGGGAGATCGTTTGGGACAAGGAAGATTTTTTTCCATCTTGTGAATATTTGCTCCCCTGCTCTGTGGTAAGGTAATGTTTTCTACTAGTGATTAAGAATTGCTTCATGGTAATTGAAGGCATAGTGCTGTAGGATCAAACAACCCAAAAAGTACTTAAACCCACCAGGCAGAATGGGATAGAGGCTGAATGGTGTCTCAAATGATTACTGTGTTTCTCTCTGCCAACTCTGTCCTGCTGATGCTGGCAATCCAACTACTATGGGAATCCAGGATCATATCAGGTCTGGAATCAGCAAATTTGCTAGGCTAAGTATCCATTTCCTTGCCACAGACCCTTGTGGTAATGAGTGTGGGAGTGGGAAAGCTGACTCAAGACGTCTCTCTAGATCCGGGTTAGGCACATCTCAGAGAAAGAAAGTTGCCAGCAGTAAAATCTTTAGAAATCTAAGGTTGTTAAAAAGCAATTGTTTTGAAAAGGGGGGAAATTAAGCTAGCTTTTTAAAGTTTGTTTGTTTGCAAACAAAAGAATGTTAGCCTGTAACTATTGGTGTAACTTTATCAACTCCTTTATTTGGCCTTAGCAATCTGTAGCCTTTTCATCTGTTTTCACCTGCAACCAAAACGACTGAAGACAAGAGAATGGGAGAAGAGACTTCATGTTCCTCTGAGGGCCTTCAGGTGAGACTGGTAGGAAGCTGAGGTCTGCCTAGGAAGTTGATGTGGGGTGGCAGTTGCATTTGTCTATTGAGTCCAGGAGTCTGTGGGTGTTGTTGCATTGGGTGGAGGGTGGGGGAACGGGGAGGGGGGGCACTTCCGTTCTGACTTTAATTGGGTCTGCTGAGATTCAAACATGAGAGGTCAACTGACGGGCTGTGGTTTGCCAGAAGTCCATTTACATGAAAAACTAAAGACACTTCCTAGGCAGAGTGGGTCAGGCAGGCACTTTTGGCACAGTAAGAAAACCTTAGTTATAAGAGGGCAGAGGTGCTTCTGAATATAGCACTGTATTCAGACTTGACTTTCAGCCTGTCCCCTGAGTGTCTAAGTCCAATTGGGAGAGCGAGGGCTCCAGAGTCTCTGTTCTCCCCTGCAAGAGATTTCTGCATTAAAAACAGGGTGAGGAGATGCTTCAATACAGATTTTGCAACTTTTTCTTTTCTTAAATAAGGTCATTTAAAAACACATATACCATCCAATGGTTTCAGAAAAGAAAGAGAATTGTAAAAGAGATATATGACAATGCAAATTTGACTTAAATATTGAATTACTTTAGCCTTTATAAAAAACCAAGAAAGATGAAAACTTTAGAACAGCTTCTAGGAAAATCTCCCCTCCACCATGATGCAGCTGCTTCATCTCATCCCTTTTCCTCTTTGTTCCTTCATCATCACTTACTCCCTGCTCTTCTTCCACTCACAGCCCCCAAGTGTTTCAAACCACACTTTCTCTTAATGACATCAATTTAGTAGAGTGTGAGCCAACTGTGGTCTTGGGGAGGGGAGATGAGGGGGAAGCATGTAGAGGAGCAGACATTCAGGCTGAGAGTGAGACCTACCACTGGAAATAAGGTCCAGGACGGCAGGGGTTTTGTGTTGTTTTCCACTATATCCCCCCATCCTGAAAACAGGGCCTGGAATACATAGGTGCTTAATAAATGTTCACTGAATCAATGAATAAAATACAGGCAAGGTATGTATATCTTCCACTGTAACACCACCAATGACAATGAGGCAGTAGTCATTTGTCTTATTGGAGGTAATGACAACATTTTGCAAATCATCAAAGATTAAACCTCTTTGCAGAAATATGAGAAGGAAAAAACTAATTGATAATATACCATCCTAACCCAACCATTATTATATTTTTGTTGTCATTCTTTTCTGTGTTTTATAATATGCATTTAAAATATACTTGTAATCAGAAAATTTTGGATAGAAAATATGGAACTTATTTTCAAAAGAACCAATCTCCTTTACCTACAAGATGTCACGAAGAAGGTGATGTTGCCCAAGTCAGTTAGAAATAACCTTTGATATCTAGTCAGTACAACAAAGCATGTGATACAAATGACAGAAGATTTACCGGTGAAGGAGGTATAAGACATGCATTCTTTTGCTGGCTCCTACTCTAAGGGTTTCAGTGTCTCATCTGTAAAATGAAAGGATTTGGGCTCCATGATCTCAAACGTCGTCTTAAAATCTGAAGTTTAATGATTCCCAAAAAAGATTTTATTGTTTTACATTTTTTTTTAAAGATTGGCACCTGCGCTAACATCTGTTGCCAATCTTTTTTTTTTCTTCTTCTTCTTCTCCCCAAAGCAGCCCGCTCCCCCAATCTAGTTGTATATTCTAGGTGTGAGTGCCTCTGGTTGTGCTATATGGGACGCCACCTCAGCATGGCCTGATGAGCAGTGCCATATCGGCGCCCAAGATCCAAAGCCAGGGAACCCTGGGCTGCCAAGCAGGAACTTAACCACTCGGCCATGGGGCCGGGCAGTTGTTTTACACTATGATTGTAAAGCAGTTTATAGATAAAATATTTACACGTTTATGTATGTAAATTTATATATTTATGAGCTCCTTCCATGCAGAAACAGATTTTAGAAATCACACAAAGAGACCATTTCTAATTTTTCAGGACTATTTTTTACGTGGGGGAACCACAGTAAGTGGTTTCACTTACCAGATAGACTGATTATTAGTAATTTGAAGTCCCAAAGGTAAATCTTTATCCCAAGAAACAAAACAAAGTTAATTCAAAACAAAGTGACAACAGTAAACCATCTAACAGTAATCTAGAGTCCAGAGTGAGGACAAAACATTAATTAGTTCATTGGTGCAAGAAATGGGATGAAAAAAATTCTACTATGCTCCTATACAGAGGAGGGTAACTCAAGAAATTCTTCCTTTGCAGTAGAATTCAAGATCAAGCCAGCCTGAAAACTGACACCGGACTTTGGACTAGCAGCGACACTCCAGGATTTCCAAGGTAGTTCAGGACTGATTATGAGCTTCGGATCGCACGCGTTTTCCTGCAACAAACGCTGAGGTGTTCGTCTGCATCGTGTTAACCACAATAATAAGCGTAATTACTCTATTAGGCTGCAAAATTTACGTATATAATCGCGACTTTCCTATTGCGTGTCGTCAGCAGGCAACTGGATCCCCGCAGCAATCTTACGTCCCTGGCTTTGGCTCGGCCCCTGGGCCCCGCCCTCCCAAACCAGCCCTCCCAAACCCACCCCAGAGTGTGGTGTCCAGCGCTGGGTGCAGTCTCGTGCCTCCCCCTGCCGGTCCTTAGAGTCGGGCTATGGAGGATGGCCGCGTGACCGCCGGGGGGCGCAAGGCGGGCGACGCCATCTCTGCGCGCGCGGCCCGTGGCCGGAAGTTAGTCTTGTCCACTTCCGCCGCTCTGTTCCCCTCCACGCCGCAGAAGCGGAAGTAAAGCTATGTGTGGCGGTTGGGTACAGTCTGGGTTGAGGTGGGTGGGTAGCCGTTGCTGTGCTTTTATGTTTTCGGGAGCAGGTCTGGTATGGACTCTTGTTCCCGTGCAGCCTCTTGCAGCGTTGTCCTTGTGGGAGGGAGAGGGATGGGAAGAACCCATGGAATGGAACCCGTGGAATTACCTGGGTTTGAATTAAGAAGGACTCAGCTGGGTTTGAAACTTATGCTTCAACTAGCTAAGACAAACTAGTAAGGTAGCTTGGCTCTTTTTCCGATTTTATAATTTTAGAGATAATGCCTACCTTTTAAGTCGTGGGGTTTAAGTCAGTGTATGTGGAGCGCTTAGCTCCGGTTTTACAAATCATACGGTGATTCCTTTTCCCGTCATACTCAGGAGTGTACCTGCCGTTCTTTCTCAGTATCTGTGAGGCAGATGCTTCGTATGCAAGAAGTTATGCGTCTCACGAGAGCATTATGCAGTGTTAGCTGGGATCGATGTTTTTATTTTGTATTTCGAAGTCCTGATACTGTTTTGTCTTCCCCCCGATTTTTATTGCCATTTCCAGGGACAGCTATTTTCCGGTTTTTCTGGAGAAGTGCAAAGTCCTCTTTCTTTAAGACAAATGAGGTGAGAAATGCATTGCTGTAAAGGTATCTAAACTTAGCTTGTTTTGTCAAAAGAACACCAGCTGGAATGTAGTACCGTAGGCCCAGTGATGAACCATTTGTGTTAAAAGCTCCTTTATCAGGTGAATTGTGGAGCAGAAGGTACCGCAAATCCTTTTTTCTTTAGACCTCACATGTTACAAGTACACAGATTGTCAGTATGTTTGTTGATTTTGGACCTTAGCCCTTGGAATAATGATTTTAGTTAATTAAAAACGTCAGTTTGAGAGATAGATTGAAATAAGTTATGAAATATTATTTTTAAAATTTGTAGATTGAGGCAGTTGGTACTTCTTGTATTAGCCAGTTTAAATATTTATTCACTTTGCTACATGTCATAGGAATGTCTTGAATGGGGATTGGGTGTTAAGAGAGTGAAATATCATTGATATTTTTCAGGTTTAACTTTTTTTGTGTTGAAAACTGAAAAATTGATAAAGGTAACATATTTTCCATTACGTTTTTGCACCCCTCAGCCAGTTTAATTTGTTTTTAATTTCTTGTCTGATTGCAAAATAACACATATTCATTAAGTCATGTCACAATATTTCAGAAATAGTACATAGCCCCCATTAATCTCAGAGATAACTTTCATTTTTTCCTTCTGTATGTATTGATGCTCCTCCCACCCCCTTTTTATATAAGTGGCATTATCCATACTATCCATAATATTATGCAGTTTGCTACTGAGAATATCTTGGACTTCTTTCTTTTGTGTTAGATCTGCCTTTTTTTTTTTTTTTTTTTAAATATCAGGCTGTATATATTATATTGCATAGACGTACCACAATTTGTCAATCATTCTACTATTGCTGGCCAATAGGGTTTCATCTTTTTTGCTATAGCACATGATGTTGTGATGATCATTCTTTTTCACAACAAATGTATATTCTTGTCCTTTTATTTCCTTTGGATAATCTCTAAGAAGTGGAAATGCTGGGTTAAAGGAAAGGATGGATGGTGCCAAGTTCCCTTCCAACAGTGATTTGAGAATTTCCCCCATTTCTTCATATGCTCACCAACAGTTGTTATTAGTTACCTTGTTTTTAGGCTTATACCATTTTTGGGGGCCAATTTATTGCATTTATAGTATTGTAATCAAAACCAAACTTTAGTTTCCAGTTCTACATCCAGTTCAGCTCTTTTTTCCTATATAAATAGAATACTTAGTTTTAGATTCCTCAGTAATAAATTATTATTAAACAAATGATTCTCTTCAATAGGAAGTATTTGTTAAGTTAAAGATTTGTGGGAAGAGGGTATTTGAATGAGACCTTGGACTGTGGATAGGTATTGGGAGGATGGGCTTTTCCAAAAGAGAGAACAGCTTACACAAAGGCAGGGAGACAACAATGGGCGAGGATGTTTAGGACCAGAGATTTGAGAAGCAGTGGTGCTTGGTTGTGAGGTTGTAGAATAGAAGAGATAGCTAGAAAGGTAGTTGGAACGGTGTGGTGAGAGCCTTGAAGGTCAGCCTGAAGATTTTGCTTTCTAAGGGAGAGCTGTAGAGGTCTTTAATCAGGGAATAAGGGACATAATCACATCTTTGTTTTACAAGTATACTGTGATGGCAATTTTGAGTGACATGTCAGAGAAGCCAATTGGGGGCTCTTATAGTCTGGGTAAGAGAGAATAACAAAGTAGAGAGGTTGGATTTCAGAGATGTTGAAGAAGCTAAATCCACATCATTATTGAGGAAGAGGAGGAAAGCAAAGCTCACTTTTAGCTTTTTAATGTGAGCAACTATTAGAATAGTGATAGTGATTTCATTAATCAGAGGAGTGCTACTTTGTTTGGGGGCTGGGAAAGATGTTCAGTTTGGTTTGGATGTGTTAGTTCATGTGAAAGATAATTCCATGGAGAGTGAATTATATACAAAGACAAAATCTACCTATGACAGATTCAAGAGAAACTTTAATAGATTTATTACTCTTTTCTTAATAAATTTGGCAAATACTTTCACTTTTAGTCTGTCATCAGTAGAATTTCTTTTGAACTTTCTCTGGCTTGTTCAGCTCTGTTTGTCATGGTGCTAAAAATCTCAAGAGAGTGTATTGTCTAGAGTAGTGGTCTTCAGACTTTTTTGATTGTGTACAATCTTAATAAAAAAGGTTTATACATGTACCTCCAATATATGTATATTTATATACTGGTTAGTTATATTTTCTGTTTTATAGTGCGATTATATTATATACATTATAAAACACATATAAAAATCAGATATTTTAAAAGGCCAAGACTAATAAAAGTTGGAGTTTTACTGTTTTCTTCTTACGTCCCATTGGATTATCTTGCACCTCTCTTTCCAAGGCACTAGTCTCATGTACAGCCGTCGGTGTTCTGTCCCATTATCCAGTAGAGGTCACTCTTGAGCATCTGTAAGAGAGAACAGATTGTTGAGCTGTGCAAGGTAGAGCCTTCTTTCTGTAGTTAGGAGTATCTTATTTTTAAGTTTCTAAATTCATGCGTTTTTGGAAGAGTATGTAGTTGCAGAGCAGTGTGTGGTATTATGGAGAAGTGAAGAATAGTGAACTCAGAGCATAACGCAATCTAAAATGTATTTTTGTTGTTTGATGACTACTTTGTGAGTGTCCTGCATTTTCATTTGAATGCTACTTCATTCTATAGTTTGGAATCTTTTTTCAATTCTTTGAGGGTCTGTAGATTATATGAGCTCCAAGAGTGCTCCCAACCTGTAGGCATAATCCAAGTTCTTGTTAAATTGGAGTAATTAAAAGGCAAGACACAGAGGATTTCTTTAATATCGATCTTGAAAGCAGTACCTCAAGCACAGAGATATTAGCAGTGAGTTGGAACCATCTATCTCAATTTTCTATTTTATGCTTAATTAGGAGAGAGGGAAAGGGAAATCCCTCCTTTAATCAGAGCCCATTGTAAGTAATTAGAAATCAAGAACTAAATTGTCACAGGTATATAGTCTGAAAGGAGAAACTATAGTTAAAAAAAAAAAAATGTGTTTTTGTGTGACTAAGACCACAAGTAGCTCAGGAACATAAGTCATCTGACACATTGAATAACAGAAGAACACTTTTCTGTTGCTTTCTTCATAAAATATTTCCTATAAATGGAAGTCTCATTTTAGTTGGGACCTATGACGATTATCATATATAAGCTCATACATTTCATGTCCATTTCTAGATGATCAGGAAAATGAGTTATAGAGGTGTTTGTTTTTTTCAAGGAATATTAGCCCTGAGCTAACATCCATGCCCATCTTCCTCTGCTTTATATGTGGGATGCCTACCACAGCATGGCTTGCCAAGTGGTGCCATGTCTGCACCCAGGCTCTGAACCTGCGAAACCTTGGCTGCCGCAGCAGAACATGCGCACTTAACTGCTGCCCCACTGGGCTGACCCTGAGTTATAGAGGTTTTAATCACTTGCTTGAAGTTGTATGTGTTGTGAAACAGATGCAGAGAGCTCTGGATCAGTCATTTGTAATATATGGAGGTGGGGTGGAGGAGAATGTTAAAAGTAACTTTTTAATGTTTATTTGCCATTTCACAGCACAGTTCCACATGTGATGGACTATATGGATTAAATATCCCAACTAGATCATTTTGAAGATGAAAATTGGTTTGGAGTTGTTGAGTTACGACCAAGGGGACATTAGGGTAAACTGAGTGAGATGGAGATGGGGATCAGGAACTGTTGACTAGAGTTCTATATAAGCTAAGAATTAAGACTCGATGATACCATGGGTTTAAAGAGTACAAGGTGAATCTAGAACAAGGTGTTTAAGGTGGAAATTAGGTAATCTGAAGTGTTGGTTTTCAAGGCTAGATTTAGAGTTTGATAATCAGGACTTGAAAACAGAGGCAAAGAAATCTGGTATCTGTGGGCAAGGGCAAGGCTAAAGATCTGGGAAGTTGGAAGACAAGGCAGAATTGAAAGCATCAATTAGCAGGAATAAGCCAAAGGTTTGGAAACCTGGAGGATAAAGCAGAGATGGAGAGGGGCAACTGGTTTTGGGTAGCCAAGGTAGGCAAGGCAAAATAAAAAGAGAAAGAGAAAGGCAGGAGTAATTCTGGGGCAGTGATGATGCTATTCTGCTTTTCTTTATGTTAAGAATGGAAGCAGCCCCAGGCCATAGGTAATCAGAAGGAGTGAACTAGGGAGTGGGAGTGCTGGGAGTGCGGTGACTGAAATTGTTACCAAAGCATCAGGAGAGCTAACACTACAGATATTTTCTCATAGAAATGATCCTGATGCCTATAGGATCATTTAGCTGTTTAACACATTCATTTGTATAATATTATATATGTTGTTTTACACAGCATTCCAAAAGGTTTGGCCTACCTGACCGTTATGGCACCAAGAAACCTCTTGTGTATGAGAAGTAACTTTCTCTTTGGTTCAAGATGTTGGATGATCCAATTTTCAGCAGAAATGCTCTTTAAATCAGTTTCATTTAGGCTTTTTGGTGTGAAGTATGGTAGTGCAGATGCTGAGCCTTTGAAGAATGAAGAACTACTGCATAACTTACTTACTATGGGAGTAGATGTTGACATGGCGAAGAGACGACAGCCTGGAGTTTTTAATAGGGTGGGTACTAATGAGCAGGACTTGAAGATGTTCCTTCTGTCCAAAGGAGCTAAAGAAGAAGTGATTGCTAGCATCATATCAAGATATCCACGAGCTATAACACGCACACATGAAAGTCTTTCAAAACGGTGGGATCTTTGGAGAAGAATTATGACATCAGACCTTGAAATTGTAAATATTTTGGAACGTTCTCCTGAATCCTTTTTTCGGTCCAATAACAACCTAAACTTAGAGAATAATATAAAGTTCCTCTACTCAGTTGGATTGACCCGTAAATGCCTTTGTCGATTGTTGACCAATGCCCCACGTACCTTTTCCAATAGTCTTGATCTGAATAAACAGATGGTTGAACTTTTGCAAGAAATCTGTTTGTCCTTGGGTCACAGTGATCCCACAGATTTTGTCAGGAAGATAATTTTAAAAAACCCTTTCATCTTAAGTCAGAGCACCAAACGGGTAAAAGCTAACATTGAGTTTTTGCAGTCAACTTTCAACTTGAACAATGAGGAGCTGCTCATTCTGATACGTGGTCCAGGAGCTGAAATCCTAGACCTTTCCAATGACTATGCCAGAAGGAACTATACAAATATCAAAGAGAAGCTATTTTCTCTTGGGTGTACTGAAGAAGAGGTACAGAAGTTTGTCTTAAGCTATCCAGATGTGATCTTCTTGGGGGAGAGAAAGTTTAATGATAAAATAGACTGCCTCATAGAAGAAAAAATTAGCATCTCACAAATAATTGAAAATCCTCGGATTTTGGATTCAAGCATAAATACTTTAAAAAATCGAATCAAAGAATTGGTAAATGCTGGCTATAACTTGAGTACATCAAGCATCACTCTTCTATCTTGGAGTCAAAAAAGATATAAAGCTAAATTGAAAAAGTTAAACATTGGATAGAACATTGCTCTGGGGAGTTAAAAAAAAGTCTTATAATAATACAGCGATACTGCATTTTGAATTTGGACCTTTCAAAAAGGAGAGGTTTGATTTCTTAACCACATATATAATAATCCTTTCGATATTTTATTTATTTTTTCGCTGAGGAAGATTCACCCTGAGCTAACATCCACTGCCAATCTTCCTCTTTTTTTGTATGTGAGCTGCTGCCACAGCATGGCCACTGACACAAGAGTGGTGTAGGTCTGCGCCCGGGAACTGAACCTGGGCCAGTGAAGCAGAGTGTGCCAAACTTAACCACTAGGCCACCAGGGCTGGTCCTTGATATTTTAAAGGTTCATAAAAACTCTTGGTCAGTATGTTCAAGTATAGTCTTCCCAGCTACGTTTTCTCTAATTTGAATTAATACAACATCTGATTATGTGACATGGGTGTGGCTGCTGTGTGAATGGTAGTTCCTGAGTGCCAAGGGAGAACAATGTGTTGAAAGATAGAAAGTACCAAATAAGCTTTTCTGGTTTCTGTTTAGATTAAAAAGTTGACAGGTTCATTTAGATAGTTCTGTTTCCTCACGGTTTGGATGGCAACTTATTTCTCCTGTTATTCCCGTGTATCTAATTATGGCTTATCTTCAAAGCATAATGCCAATAAAATTCTGATGAAGACAAAAAGGAGGGATTTTTCATCCCAAATTCTCCATTCAAACCATTAGTATGCTCTGCCACCCGCCCCCCCTTAGGCTCAATTTTCTATGGGCATATCCTGATTTCTTTGAAAACAGGGGCAACTATGGTAGCCAGAATAATGGCCACTGAAAGACGTCAGTGTCTTAATTCCAAGAACCTGTGAATATGGTATGTTACATTGCAAAAGGACTTTGCAGTTAAATTTAGGTTAAGTGCCTTGAGATGGGTTGAGATTATCCTGTATTATCTGGGTGGGCCCAGGGTAATTATAAGGGTCCTTAAAAGTGGAAGAGGGAGGTAAGAGAGGTCAGAGTGATGCCATGTAAGAAGGACTTGACCCCCTTTTACTGGCTTTGAAGGAGGATGGGGCCATGAATCAAAGAATGCAGGTGGCCTTTAGAAAATGGAAAAGGCAAGGAAATGTCCTCCTCCAGGTCCCACAGAAAGGAGTGCAGCCCTGCTGGGACCTTGAATTTAGCCGAGTGAGACCTATGTCAAACTGCTGACCTACAGAACTGTAAGATAATGAATTTGTGGTGTTTTAAGCCACTGAGTTTGTGATAATTTGTTACAGCAGCAAATAGATTAATATGGCAACTAAATAGATGATTAGTTGCATTTTAGGTGAAGAAGTCACAAAATACGGTCCTTTTGGTATTATGTTTGTATTTCTTCATCTTACAATAACCTTTTGTATCCACCTCTGTTTTTGGAATGACTAATAAATTAGTATTTGTAAAGTCCTCTAAATGTATGGATAAAAAAGTAAATGTAAGTAATACAATCTAAATAAAGGAGTGTTTTCGCCTAATGACTGTAGCTTAAAGCCATGGTGATAGTTTCTATATATTTACATTTTGTTGGTATTTCAACTAATAAAGAACAAGGAATTTCTAGAAGCATTGACTTAAAAAATGACAAGTCAGATGATGTCTGTATCTTGAAGACACTCACAATCTAGCGTCTGAAATAAACTGAAAGAGAAAGGACACATATGACCTTAATTGCTTTAATTGTTTTCCAGAGGCATTTGTTGATGTCAATTTTGAATTAAATAACAATGGTGCTCATCTTTTAAGCCTTGTTTCCTATCAGCAATGCTACAAAAAAACTTATTCCCACCACTGATAGAAACAAAATTCCTGCTTTTTTTTTTTTTTTTTAAGGCTGTGTGTATGTCAATGATACTCTTATAATTTTTTCCAGTCAGCTATTTAATGGCAGGCATAGCATAGTTTAGAAAACATCGGCTTTCAAGAGGCATTTTTTTAGAGTGGTATGTCTGTGCACCATTTCTGACTAGCTCTGCAACTTTGTGTAAATATTTTAATTTCACTGAACTTGTTTTCTCATCTATAAGATTAAAAATTGACCTCAGAGTTGGTGAGAATCAGATAATAAAGGGTCTCTAGAAGGTTTCTTGCACATAGTAACTGTTCAATGGTAGCTGTAATAAATAGTTGCAGTAATATTTTTAAATACAGCTTTATTGATATATAATTCACATACCATACAATTCACCAGTTTAAAGTACATAACTCAATGTATTTTTTAATATTCATAGGGCTATGGAGTCACCACTATCTAATTTTAGAGTCTGTTTGCACACCCTGAAAAAAACCCTATACCCATTAGCAGTTAATCTCTATGATCCCCCTCTTACTTCTCTAGCCCTAAGCAACCACTGATCTACTTTCTCTCTATAAATATGCTAATTCTGAATATTCCATGTAAGTCGAATCATACAATATGGTCATTTGTAATGGGCTTCTTTCAGTTAACATAATGTTTACAAGGTTCATCCATGTAGCACGTATCAGTATTTCATTCTCTATCTATCTATCTATCTATCTATCTATCTGTCTACCTACCTACCTACCTACCTATCTATCTATCCATCTATCTATATTTTTTGTGGGGAAGATTGTCTCTGAACTAACATCTGCCAATCTTCCTCTATTTTACGTGGGATGCCTCCACAGTGTGGCTTGACGAGTGGTGCTAGGTCAGCACCCAGGATCTGAACCTCTGAACTCCAGGGCACTGAAGTGGAGTGTGTGAACTTAACCACTATGCCACCAGGCTGGCCCCAGTATTTCATTCTTTTTTATTGCCAAATAATATTGCGTTGCATGGATACAGTAGTATTATTGGGAGTAAATTTTATTGTTATGACTTAAAGCACAAAGTATTAATTCCTTCAGTCTTCTGAATTGTATGTGAATATTTTCTGAAGTGTTGCTTTGGAACTAACAAGTCTGTAAGGAACTTGATGGAGGTAGACAGAGGAGATAAAAGTTTATTGGCATCAGCTGGTCATGAGGATTATGTCTGGGTTGATGAGATGATATAGCAGCAACAGTTGCCAGTGGCCAAGGAGAATGTGGGATGCACAGAAGTAGAATACAGCCCTCTTTTGGGGATTGAGGAAGGACAACTTCTTAGTAGAAACAAATGGATAATACCTGTTAGGCAAGATTAACATATTTTAAGGTTTGAATCTGATTAGGGGAGAGTCTTAAAAAAAAGTTGAATTATAAAAATTTTAAGTAATAGTTTTTCATGAGTAAAAAGAAAAATCCATGTTTATAATGTGGAAAAAATAGAAAATAAACCACACACACACAAAACAAACTATAATCTTATCTCCCAGAGATAAATAATGAACATTTTGGTCACTCTTGTTTTTCTTTGCAGAATATATCCACACATGGATGTAATATGAGTAGATATGTGGCATATATATTTAAATTGAGATCAAGCTGTCTATATTTATGTTTTTTAACCTAATAGATTCTGAACATATTAAGTATTCTTTAGTAATTAATTAATTACAGAATCAAGTATTCACCAGTAACATTGTTTTTAATGGTTGTATGAAATTCTGTTTGGATAAACCACAATTTCTCTAGTGAATCTCTCACCATTAGACAGATAGAGTAAATTTTAGTACATTAGTAATTTTTTGAAAACCCCACCTAGAGTAGTTCAGTATTCCACATACATTCTACCGTTTTTTCCACCATTAGTATAAGTTAAAATTTTGCTCTAGAAAATATGAACATTAAGATTACTGCATTTTGCTGTTCTCCAAATGTCAGCTGTTTCTGCAAAACTTCATTTTTTTAATGGAAACCATCTGTACATTCTAAATTGCTGGCATAAACTTGAGGACTTTCAAATAACTGTGTTAGGACGATATCAAAGATTAAAGGAAAAAAATGAATTTGTTCATCATGAACTTACAGGAAGGAATAAAACATGAGTAGTATTTATAAAAGGGTTTACTGGTCTATTAAACTAGTCATTTCTCTCCTTAAATCATCTAATTTCTAAGGCTTGCATAGGTACAAGGTTTGTAGCTAAAGATCCAATAAGATTGCTTTCATGTGCAAAACTTGACTGTTGGCTTCTTCCTTATGGACTGTAATGCCCCACAAACTTCACACCCAGAAGTACAATCTAGTGGAGATTGAAGGGAGAATCTGTTGATGGCAGAACTCTAGCCACAAACTTTAATAATAGGCAATCTTTACATAGTCCAAGAAGAGCTTGGCACAAACAAGATAGAATAGCAGGGCTATATTATTATTAGAGAGGTTTGGGGAAGAGATGATAGCAGAAGCCCAGTTGCCCAACATTGGAGACAGAAGAGAGGAGCTATGACTCAGTCATCATGGTCCTCTAGGGATCATCTCTGGAGGGACTAGGTCTTGGGTCTGATTGGCCACCAGGTAACTTGGGAGACAGGTGTTCTAAACTGGCCAAGAGGTCTTTGGACTGAGGGCATTCATTTATTCCTTAGTTTATTTACTGTTGACTCAGGAACCTGGTATAGGAAAGAGCTGCCAGCATCAGTTTTGAGGAGTTGAGGAAGGCACTCATGGCGAATGTTATAACCAGGTCCTATGTATCTTCTTGCTCATTTTCATGTTTCTGGTGTTCCCCAAATGGCACCCTTACCTCTTCACTTTCTTCTGGTCTTTTCAAGATAGATTATGTCTACACTTTTGCTTTCACACTTTTTTCCCCTCAATTCGTAGAGGTTGTTAGTTAAATAAAAGGAAAAAACAAAAATACTATAGTTTTTTTTTAGCCTTTTGACTAATTTCTGTGTGGAATTTGGTACAGACATAGAAGACATACTGATGGAATCTCATTTTGTGTCTCACTTCACTATTAGTCAGGTATATATATATATTTTATTGTGGTATTATTGGTTTATAACATATAAATTTCAAGTGTACATTATTATATTTCAATTTCTGTGTAGACTACATCATGTTCACCACCCAAATACTAATTACAATCCATCACCATACATGTGCATAATCACCCCTTTTGCCCTCCTGCCTCCCCCCTTCCCCTCTGGTAACCACCAATCCAATTTCTTTCTCTGTGTTTGCTTTTCTTTTTTTTTTTTTTAAAGATTTTATTTTTTCTTTTACTCCCTAAAGCCCCACTGGTACATAGTTGTGTATTTTCAGTTGTGGATCCCTCTAGTTGTGGCATGTGGGATGCCGCCTCAGCATGGCCTGATGAGCAGTGCCATGTCTGCGCCCAGGATTCGAACCGGCAAAACCCTGGGCCACTGAAGCAGAGTGCGTGAACTTAACCACTCGGCCATGGGGCTGGCCCCTGTTTTTTGTTGTTTTTATCTTCTGTTTATGAGTGAGATCATATGACATTCGACTTTCTCCCTCTGACTTATTTTGCTTAGCATAATACCATGAATACCATCCATGTTGTCACAAATGGCCAGATCTCATCCTTTTTTATGGCTGAGTAGTATTCCATTGTGTCTATATACCAGATCTTCTTTATCCATTCGTCCCTTGATGGGCACCTAGGTTGCTTCCAAGTCTTGGTTATTGTGAATAATGCTGCAGTGAACATAGGGGTGCATATATCTTCATGCATTTATGTTTTCATGTTCTTTGGATCAATACCCAGCAGGGGAATGGCTGGCTCGTATGGTAGTTTTATTCTTAATTTTTTGAGGAATCTCCATACTGTTTTCCATAGTGGCTGCACCAGGTTGCTCTCCGACCAGCAGTGTATGAGAGTTGCCTTTTTTCCACATTCTCTCCAACACTTACTATTTCTTGCCTTGTTAATTATAGCCATTCTGATGGGCATGAGGTGATATCTCATTGTAGTTTTGATTTGCATTTCCCTAATAATTAGTGATGTTGAACATCTTTTTATGTGCCTGTTGGCCATCTATATATCTTCTTTGGAAAAATATCTGTTCAGATCTTTTGCCCATTTTTTAGTTGAGTTGTTAGTTTTCTTGTTGTTGAGATGTGTGAGTTCTTTATATATTTTAGCTTATTAACTCCTTATCAGATATAAGGTTTGGAAATGTCTTCTTCCAATTGTTAGGTTGTCTTTTCGTTTTTTTTGATGGTTTCCTTTGCTGTGCAGAAGGATTTTAGTTTGATGTAGTCCCATTTGTTTATTTTTTCTTTTGTTTCCCTTGCCCAGTCAGACATGGTACTTGAAAATATGCTGCTAAGACTGATGTCAAAGAGCATACTGCCTATGTTTTCTTCTAGAAGTTTCATGGTTTTGGGTCTTACATTCAACTCTTTAGTCCATTTTGAGTTGATTTTTGTGGATGGTGTAAGATATTCCATTCTTTTGCATGTGGCTGTCCAGTTTTCCCAACCCCATTTATTGAAGAGACTTCCCTTTGTTGATTGTATGTTCTTTCCTCCCTTGTCAAAAATTAGCTCTCTGGGGGCTGGCCCATTGGTGCAGTGGTTAAGTTCACATGTTCTGCTTTTGTGACCCAGGGTTCACTGGTTCAGATCCAAGGTGCGGACATGGCACCGCTTGGCAAGCCATGCTGTGGTAGGTGTCCCACATATAAAGTAGAGGAAGATGGGCATGGGTGTTAGCTGAGGGCCAGTCTTCCTCAGCAAAAAGAGGAGGATTGGCAGCAGATGTTAGCTCAGGGCTAATCTTCCTAAAAAAAAAAAAAATTAGCTCTCCATAGATGTGTGAGTTTATTTCTGGGCTCTTGATTCTGTTCCATTTATCTGTGTGTCTTTTTTTGTGCCAGTACCATGCTGTTTTGATTACTATGGCTTTATAGTATATTTTGAAATCAGGGAGTGTGATGCCTCCAGCTTTGTTCTTTTTTCTCAGGAGTCCTTTGGCTACTTGGGGTCTTTTGTTGTTCCATATAAATTTTAGGATTCTTTGTTCAATTTCTGTAAAAAATGTCATTGGAATTTGATAGGGATTGCATTGAATCTGTAGATGGCCTTCGGAAGTATGGACATTTTATCTATATTTATTCTTCCAATCCGTAAGCATGTAATATCTTTCCATTCCTTTGTGTCTTCTTCATTTTCTTTCAACAATGTTTTGTAGTTTTCAGTGTACAGGTCTTTCACCTCTTTCTTTAAATTTATTCCTAGATATTTTATTCTTTTTGTTGCAATTGTAAATGGAATTGTTGTCATAATTTCTCTTTCTGCTACTTTGTTGTTAGTGTATAGAAATGCAACTGATTTTTGTATGTTGATTTTGTATCCTGCAACTTTACCCTATTCATTTATTATTTCTTAAAGTTTTTTGGTGGATTCTTTAGGATTTTCTATATATAAAATCATGTCATCTGCAAATAGTGACAACCTCACCTCTTCCTTTCCAATTTGGATCCCTTTTCTTTCTTTTTCTTGCCTCATTGCTCTGGCTAGGACTTCCAATACTATGTTAAACAAGATTGGTGAAAGTGGGAATCTTTTGTCTGGTTCCTGTTCTTAGAGAGAGAGCTTTCAGTTTTTCTCCATTGAGAATGGTATGAGCTGTGGATTTGTCATATGTGGCCTTTATTATGTTGAGGATTTTCCTTCCATGCCCATTTTATTTAAAGTTTTTATCATAAATGGATGCTGTATCTTGTCAAATGCTTTCTCTGCATCTCTTGAGATGATCATGTGGTTTTTCTTCTTCATTTTGTTAATGTGGTGTATCACACTAATTTGTGGATGTTGAACCATCCCTGCATCCCTGGAATAAACTCCACTTGTTCATGGTGTATGATCTTTTTAATGTACTGTTGTATTTGATTTGCTAGTATTTTGTTGAGGATCTTTGCACTGATGTTCATCAGTGATATTGGCTTGTAATTTTCTTTTTTTTGTGTTTTCTGGTTTTGGTATCAGGGTAATGTTGGCTTCATGGAATGAATTAGGAAGCTTCCCCTCCTCTTCAATTTTTTGGAAGACTTTGAGAAGGATAGGTATTAAGTCTTCTTTGAGTGTTTGGTAGAATTTGCCAGGGGAGCCGTCTGGCCTTGGACTTTTGTTTTTTGGGAAGTTTTTTTATTACTTTTTCGATCTCCTTACTGTTGATTTGTCTAGTCAGATTCTTTGTTTCTTTTTGATTCAGTTTTGGAAGGTTGAATGATTCTAAGAATTTATCCATTTCTTATAGATTATCCAGTTTGTTG